TATTAATATATTTTTGCTCATAATTTGGATGGCAAAAAATTAGATTGCCTTGTGCTCATGTAAGTGCTCTAATCTTATAGAGGAAGGAGTGTGCGCAAGTTTATATTGACATCTATTACTTACTTGATTTGTATTGCAGAACATATATAAATATACTTTATCTCATTAACATTGAAAATTTGAAAATGGATAGTGCCAAAGAATATCTGTTCTTACTTTAATCATATAACAAAATGAAGAATGTAAATAGAAAGCGTTGAATCAGTATTTCCCGATACTCCAATCATATATGCAATATGGATATACTTATTGTATAGGTACATTTAGATGTTTGAGTATATAATAGAAGTGTTTGCAGACTTTTGCATCACGTGGAGGATATCCTTTTAAACATGCAGACTAGTATTCACATACCATATATATTAAGATTATATCAAGTAAATCTAATATATTTATTAAAAAGCAATCATTTAAATTTAATTCTCATGTTTCAAATATTGTACAGCATTAACAAACCATGCATTTTCTTCTGCCATCACCTGCATATTCTTATCAATTATTTTAATGAGGCCTGTAATCTTTAAATTCTCATATGTGTGTTTTCTTTTGTGGATTTTTGGAACACTCCTACGTGTAGAAACATATGGCTCTTCTCAAGATCACTAATGTCTGTGGTAAGGCAAACAATCCACTTTAAGAGCCCTCCACAATGCACAAGTTGTTTAAGTTTGGTGACAGCCATCTCTTTGACTTGTGATCTTCCCCCGAAACTCTTGTGCAAGAATAGATCATCAATGTCCAATGTGTCTAAAGCATTCATTAAGTCTATCCTCGACATAACTTTGTATTGATAGAGCGAGAAGACGGGAATTTTCTTCTTTCCTACCTTGCTAATGCAAACTATTACTATATCAGGTCCAAAACGAATCATATCTCCACAGTGGAGAAAAGGCCAAAAGGATACCTGCAACAAACAAGTTATTTCACCACTATAAAATAGGAAATGCAAAGAGGATACCTAATGATTTCCTTGTAAGACCTCCTCAAACTGATTGAGCCATGTCAAAAAGATTGTCCCATTGTCTTCTTCAGGCATTCGCTGTACCATCTCGCAGTTGTTTGACCTTGGCACTCGTAGTGGATGCTTGTAGACCTCCTCCACCTTTTCCTTGTAGACCTTTGGGATAAAATCCACTGGCGCCTTATTCTCCAGAAACTCCAAAAGCAAGGGAACGGAGTACGCTTCAAACTTTACCCCTAGCTCAGACTTGCTGCAAACACCCATATCGTTGATCAGCTTCTTCTGCATGTCTCCACTGGCTGTGAGATAGTTCCACAAAGCCCTCACCACGAGTGGTTCTCCAATCTCAACAGTTTGAAGGGAAACCTGTGCTCCATTCTGAGGAGGAGCCGAGCAGAAATCTGTATCCGGTTTGAAATGCAAAGGCTTGTCCACAGTCTTTCTCAGCCTGCCGATCCCTGCTTGCACAAATATTAAATCACTGTCCATGACTGCCAGTTTTACAGGAACTCCCGTGTACACCTGCAGCAGCAATAAAGTTATGATCACCTCCCAACACCCGGGATGGAATGATGGTAGCGCAAAGAACTTCACAACATCGTCCCACACAGATCTGTTGATGAAGAGGTCAGGGCCTGGTCGCCTACACAAATCATCTGCCTTTTTTAGGAAGTAGTCTGTAGCGACCAATGGCTGCTCCTCTGAATCCCGCAAGAACATCTGCAACACTGTCACGTAAAACTTGTATCTGCCTCTGTAAACACCAAAGATCGTGCTGAAGTCGAAATCTTCCACACCTTTCACAAACTTCATTGTGTACTCCTTGATAGATTCAGCACTAGAAAAATCCCCAAAGTCCGAGTACACATAATAGCTAAGTGTGTCTTTCACGGAGCCTGAAAGTGAGTCCACCATCCATACCAAGTGCCGGCATGTCCCAGATATTATGGTCTCTTTGAAGTTCATCGCACGTAGAGCCAAGACGAGCTTGTCTAGCATCGACCGGTTCACCTCATTCATAGTCTCGCTCCTAAACCTGTTCACCAGTAAACGTGATAGTTCCTGGCATTCGTCTATTACCACAATGCCGTCCCAGTCTACCTGTCCTTTCAGCTCAACGAGCATGTCAGAAAAGATGGTGCTTGCAACTTTAATGTCGGAAGAATTGCGGATCAGACTGAGTATTCCCTTCGTCAGCTGCCACCATGGATCACGCCATGGATAATTCAAGTGTGGAAAGTATACCTGCACAAAACACAAACATTTTAGCTCCCTCACAAACCAAACACGAATCTTACTTGTTTAAAAAGCCAGGCGAGCGGGGTAACGTCGACGCCTGCAGAGCGAGCTTCTCTCAAAATGTAAAACCTGGATATGAAAACTGCTTTCAGGCAAACCATTAAGGCCGCTTCTGGAATGGCTCCCTCGGGATACAAGCGTCCCAATTCTGCTGCAACGTGATTAAGATCTCGAGAACCTTCATCCCCTGCTCCACTACCCGTAACACCCGTCAAGTAAATGGAGTCCCTCTGACAAGATATTTCGTAGAGCGTCCTTGTCTTGCCACTGCCAGAAGCGTCAACCAAGAAGCAGAGGTCTGTATACTCCAGCCTCCTAAGCACCTCTGACGCAGACCCGATATAATCTCCATCCTTCAACCCCTCTAGCAACAGAACCGCCCGGCCTTTCAAGGTACATAACTCCTTGCTGCTACGTGAATAAGAACGCTTGAAATGTTGCTCCGGAGGCATGGAAAGAAGATGTTCTTTCACCCGTTTCCAAACTTCAGCACAAACGTCGTCAACATTCTTCCGGGTTAAATTCCGGGTTAAAGCGCCCCTGGAACAGCAGAATTAAACACAGCCACAAAGAGCAAACGGCAAGTTCACACAGATCGAACAGAACCACAAGGATGCGGAGATTACCAGACGACCAGATCCATCCATAACCACACACATGGAAGAGATGACTTACCATTAGATTTGAGCTCTTCCTCCCGCAGCTGCCTCTCTTTCTTCATGACCAGCAACACTTCCCGCAGCAGCAACAAATTCATCTGCAGGTACTTCTTCTGGTCGGGATCCTGCTCCGTCTTCAATTGGCCTTTTGTCTCCGCGATCTCAGTTTCCACATCCCGGATAGACCGCTCAAGAGAGTCGGCGAAAGACGACGGCATAGCCATGTTTGAGCTCCAACCCCAGCTGCTGGAGACAGTGGAAGAACAAGCAGAGCCTCCGAGCACCATCTTCACCTGGCGACTCACGATGCTCACCTTCTTGGTGCCGCGACATCTTGGTGCCCGGCGGGACCAATCCCGCCCCACGCCGGCCGATGGAGCAGCAGGAGCTCCAGGGCCTGGCGGCATCGCTCCTCCTTGACCTATCATAAGAACCCTTCTCAGATGATTCCAATGGAGCTGAGAGAGTATGGGAGGGAGAGAAGAAAGAATGCTAAGGAACTGAACACCGCAAGGTGGCAGACGTGAGGCCTGCAGTTCCAACTTCATCAACTTCTCCATTGAGCACTAACATATCCAAAATCTACGACAGAGACCTCAGATCGTTGGAAAGCCCCGTGAAGGTTGCTACTTGATCTACATTGGCACCGCCAACATTTCATAGCTCACTGCTGCTTGAGAATTGGTTTTTGTAAAAGCTTCCACCAGCCTACCGAGGGCTCCAATTCGGCCTTTATAGCCAATGGAGAACGTCAATTCAGCTCCCAAGATTTTCTTAGAACGAAGCTATGTCAACTTACTTGCGTAAGGGGCACAGGTTTGATGAGCTTTCGAAGGCTGTTGTAAGTTTGTTGAGAGCTTTATCTCTTTCATCCATATTCCTGGCCATCACAAAAGCAATCATTTTCTAATCGATCCAGCAAATCTCATATTTGGTGGCAGCTGCCCATACTTATTCAACAATTGCCGCCGACTGAAAGGGACAGTGAAAATGTCTCGTTCCTTGCAAGGACCCTAAAAAACTGAAAAAAAATACTTATTGAATGTTTATGAGATTTGCTTAAGCAAACAAAAAATCTGCTAGCTCAAAGGTATATTTAGTTACCCTTCCTTCAGCAAAGTTGATTATAAAACTATTCCATAGAGTTGCACCACCATGTATCTTCACGACATCATAAAAAAGTTATTGTACAGTCACTGCATTTCCTCATGCTTGATCTTTGATCTTTCCCGGGCTGCAAAACCACATTCAGCACCAGGTGTCCAGAAGTGCGTTCATTAATAGGTCTGTAGTTCTCTATATTCTAGATCCACAAAAGGCTCTCCATTATGGCTGCTTTAAAGAAAAAGGATAATGGGATGCCAGGAAACTGTGCACGCTGTGAGCACTGGAGCGTGGAGGGAGCTGGGACCACGAAGGAGCTTTGGAGCTTGGAACATACTGCTCGGAATTTGGAGGAGCAACGAGCATAAAAGAGCTTGAAGCGTTGAAGAACATAGAGCGTGGCTGGGAGCTTGAATTTTCCCAGTTCCAATAGCATGGAGATCATGGAAGTGTGGAACAAGGAGCGTGAGAGCTTGGCCTTTGTATGTAAAAGATCCTGGAGCATGGATGGAGCATGGCTTTCACGAAAGAGCTTTGGAGCTTGGAACATAGACATTTGGAGCATGGAGCGTGGCTTGGAGCTCGAAATTTGGAGGAGCAGGGAGGATAAAAGAGCTTGGAGCGGGATATCGGAGTCTGGAGAGAGCCGGGAGCATGCGGCAAAGGTCATACTCCCAAAAGCATGGAGCGCTGTAGAAAATGGAGCATGGAACTTCTGGAACAACAAAGGTCATCAACTTCGAAGGTTAGCATCGTGTGCGGGATAAGGTGGAGAGCAGGACTGAGCGGGGACGGTGGAGTGGAAAAGCCAAGTTTAGATTAGCGTGGACTGTGGAGTGTGGACCGGAGCGTTGACCGTGGAGTGGAACACTAAAATTCATAAAGTCTTATGCTTCTTGTGTGAAATAGAGGTCATAGCTAACACAAAAATACAGTACAGCAATGGTAATCGGGCATTAACTAGCTGAAGGGATAAGTAATCAAGGTAAGTGTTTCAACTCACAGCATAAAGTGAACTAAACGCAGCATTGGCATGGCATCCTTTCCACGAGGAACTCTTCGTGAGCGGAAGCCACGCCGGCATTATGTTACGATCAATCTGATCTCTGTCATCAGAACACTACAAGAACTTTAAAGCCGTACTTAGATTAGTAAAAAAACGCGAAGTGATTCTAATTGAAGTTTGTTACCTTAAATCTCGTTGAGCTGACTTATTAGCTCAGTATTTACATACCTAACATGTAAGATAAGAGCATAGCACAAGGAAATAATAATACATACTTGAGACATCCAATTTTCACTGTGGCTCCAGATCATCGATCTGTGGAAGAGATTTTGTTAAACGACAATCCATTCAGCCACTTTGGGAGCCCTTACCAAAACTCTGTTGATCGAGCAGCGGACTTTGTTAGTCGAGCAGCGCACGAACTTTTTGCTCAAATTCGTTGCTGGTTTGTCGAGATAAGCTCCCGTATAGTTTCGCTGCCACCTTCGGACCTATCAACATTCTCGAATTACCAAAACAGTACGTGAAGAAAACGAGAAAAATTTCTACCTGGAGGTAAATGTGTAATCCACGGAGGTCGCTACATTGCAAATGGACTTTAGTTCTCCAGGCTCGTCTTACACGAGGAGAGGAGCGTCGTCCAGGCGGCAAAATCCGGCTCGAATGGCATGCTGTGCATCAATTCGCAGGCCTCATCGGTCTGCCCCGCGCGCCCCAGTAGATCTATCACCGAAATGTAGTGATCGATCGTCACCTCCAGCCCATAATCTGGCGAGATCGCTGTGAAATATCTCCATCCATCCGCGATGAGCCCGGCGTGGCTGCAAGCGAAGAGATTGCTGACGAATGTGACCCCGTTTGGATCGATCCCGTGCTGCTCCATGGCGCGGGAGAGATCCAGAGCGTCCCAGCTATGGCCGTTTTGCGCATACGCCGAGATCATCGCGTTCCAGGACATCATATTTGGGGACGCCATGGAATCAAACACCGCGCGCGCCTCCTCCAGCTTGCCACACTTCGCGTACATGTTGAGCAGCGAATTCGCGACGAACGAGACCCTGAGCTGCGCCGGATCGTCCTGGCGGATGACCGAATGCACGATTCTTCCCCTGGAAATCGCGGCGTCGGTGGCGCACGCATCAATCACGCACACAAAGCTGATAGAATTCGGGGTGATCCCTTCCAGATCCATGAGCCTGAAGAACCCTAGCGCCGTCCCGCTATGCCCGTCCTGCGCATAGCCAGCGATCATCGCATTCCAGGCCACAACGTCGTGGTTGCCTTGCCACGTGTCGAACATCCGGCGCGCGGCGGGCAAATCCCCGCCCTTGGCGTGGGCGTGTATCATGGCCGTCCACGCCACCGTGTCGTGGTACGGCATCTTTTGAAAGACGCCCATCGCACCGTCGGTTCTCCCGCCCGAGGCATATGCCCCGAGCATCGTGGTCCAGGTGTTCGCGTTTCGATTCCCGGCAGCGTCAAACACCGCTCGAGCTTCTTGGATATGGCCCTCGAGGGCTAGCGCCTGGACCATCGCGTTCCAGGAGATTAGGTTTCTATCGGGCATGGCCTGGAAGATCTCTCGCGCGGCCGCGCAATCGCCGGCCTCGCCGTGGGCGGAGATCATCGAGTTCCACGACGGCAATCCCCGCTGTGGCATTCTCTCGAACAGGCTCCTCGCGTCCTCCAATCGATCGGCCTCCACAAACGCCTGGATCAGCGAGTTCCACGAGTAGACGTTCTTGTCCTCGATTCGCTGGAACGCCGCCAGCGCCAGATCGATCCTCCTGTTCTGTCCGTGCGCCGCGAGGAGATTGTTCCAGGACACCGAGTTTTGCTGCGGCATTCGATCGAGGATCACTCTCGCGCGATCGATCGCGCCCGCGGTGACGAATCCGGACACCAGCGTCGTCCACGACACGACGTTCCTCTCGCACGACGAATCAAACACCTCTTTCGCGTTAGCGATTTGCCCGCTCTTGGCAAACACCCGGATCGCGGCGTTCCACGAGACGAGATTGTGCTGGGGCATTCTCTGGAGCATCGATCTCGCCTGGATCGCCAATCCCTGATCCGCGAGGGTTTTGATCATCGTGTTCCAGGAGAACACGTCCTTGTGTGGCATCTCCTCTCGCAGCCTGTGCGCCTCTTCCAGATGACCATTCTGGGCAAATGCCGTGAGCATCGCGTTGCAAGAGACTAGATCGTGCTGTGGCATCCGATCGAACGTCCTCTTCGCGTGGATCGAGTGTCCCGTCGCGGCGAATCCAGTGATAAGCGTCGTCCAGGCGATGAGATCCTGTTGGGGCATCGCATCGAACGCGAGTTTGGATTCCTCCATGAGCTCGCTGCGAGCAAACCCCTGGATCATCGAGTTCCAGCAAAAGGGCGAGTGTTGGGGCATCTTGCGGAAGACCTCGCTGGCGATGGAGATCTCCCCGTTGTGGACGAGAACCGTGATGACGATACTCCAGGAGAAGATGTTCTTGCGGCTGGGCGCGTCCAGGAACACCGCCATCGCCTCGTCGACGCTGCCGCAGCTGCCATACATCTGGACGAGGAGATTGCACAGCAGGGTGTCGCCGCCGTGCCCCGCCGCCACGATCTGCCCGTGGATCCGCCGCCCATCGGAGATCGCGCGCGTGCTCGCGCATTGGCGGAGAATCGAGACGATGCCGAGCTTGTCGATGGCAGCGCCGCCGCTGCTTAGCATCAGCGAGAGGAAGAAGAGCAAGGCATCTCTCCGTACGAAATAGGATATTCCCTGCCGTGTGGCTCCGTGCAGGTGCCGTACAAAAGGGAGTCGGTTTGCAAAAGGAATTCGTTCTTGCTCGCCGGAGCGCCCGGCCTAGAGCTTCGTTTTAAATGCCCGCGGCCGCGACGTGGGAAATGGAAGCTCTAGAGCTGCTAGGGGGATGGCGTTGGAGGTGAGCTCCAAGGGTGGCGCTGGCGGGGGAGTGGCGCTCGGGCGGATCTCGCCGATCTTGAGGCCAGCGCTGGTGGATCGCGAGCTGAGGGTTTTGGGGCAAAGAGGGGTTCTTTCTTTCCCTTCGGCTATGGCTGAATTTTCCCGCGAAGAGGATGAGGGGGAGGAGGGAAAGATGGGCGATGCGAGCTTGGAAGAAGATGGCGGTGGCGAGGAGGAGGAGGACGATGCAATCGCCCAGTTTCTAGAGGCGGAGGTGATGGAGGAGGAGGACGAGGATCTCGCAGTGGAGCAAGAAGAGGTTTTACTTTCTACTACAGTTCTATAGATTTTTTTTCTCTATTCCTTTTAGTTCTTCGTTTGGTTTGCTAGTTTCTTTAACTTAGAACTAATGCTAATGTTCTTCTTCTTTGCGCAGGAAGAAGAATCCATCCAGCCTCTCGCCAAGAAGCGCCGAATCGAGGATCTCGATTGCATCGAGAGTGGCGAGTTTCGGAAGATCCCACCCGATTTGTTTCGCAACATTCTCAAGTTCCTCTCGCCAGAGGTAAGATCTTTGCTTAAAACCTTTGCTACACTTCATTTTTCTACGATCGATCGTTCCAGGATTTGTCGAGCTGCGCTAAAGTTTGCCATTATCTTCGACGTGTGGCCTCGGACGAAACACTTTGGAAAAAACTGTGAGTTACTTTTCTATCATAAGAAACCAGTTTTTTTTCTTACAATTCAACGCAGCTATTTTCTTCGATGGGGTCCTCCGCCTTTTTGCAAGCTTTCGAGCATCGAGTGGAAGCAGCTTTACTTTGAGGCATGCGATCAAATTGTTCCTCTCATGGGATTAACTTTACTTCGTTGCTTCAGAAAGACAAGGCCGACGTGATCGCGTCGCTGAGGAACACCGAGTTTCGAGAGTACTACTTGCAAATGGAGATCGCAAAGCGTAGCCAAGCACCGGTTCCTTCACAGGTGATCGTTTCAATCTTTTCTTCTTTCACTCATCCAGAACTTGGATGTTCTCGCAGATCAAGGACGAACTTGGAGTGTTTGACCCATCCATTGCCGACCAGGTGACCCAGTGGAGGCGCAGTCACAAACTCTCGGAAGTTTACAGTGGCTCTCACACTTGTTCAGGGAGAACTTGCTCGTATCACCAGATTGGCGATGTCTATATCTGTGAGAAGACCGGATGCGCTCACTGTAAGCTTGAAAATCGCTTGTCCGTCGTCCTCTTTTCTCACTGCTTCGCGTTGTTTGTTCCAGTTTGTGGCGATGCCTGTCGCGAGATCGTCATGAGTCCCAACTATAACGTCTGTAAGATTTCTGGTCGCTGTTTTGATCCTTGTGTGTTTCCAGTTGAAGAAGAGGATGGAGAGGAGGACGAGGCGAACGTAAGTAGCAAGCGTTTCGTGCTCTCTGGTTCTTCGTTCTAAAGCCTCGTTTGAATGTCAACCAGGAAGGGCCTCAGCTGGTAGCAGCAGAAGAACCGGAACCGTTTCTAGGAACTGGCAGACTTGGTAAAACTCGTCGTGATGTTCTTGCATTGCGTGCTTGACTAACGCAAATGTTGTTGATTCAGCTCGAGCTTACAGCCTCGGTTACAATTGTAGGGATGATCGGGAGTTTGAGAGAGCCCTTCGGTGCTGCTAACTGGAACAAAAAAAAAGAAAGGAGACCCAAAGTGTACAGAGCACTTGTCTTGTAACGATTGTACCTTAGTAATAGTTGTACTGATTATGTGATTGTCTAGGCGTATTGAGCTTGGTTACATCTGGGATCCAAAACGTAAGTACGCTTGCAGCACTGGCAAACATTAAGTGTCGTGGATCCCATTTCACGACGGAAGGAACACCGTCGCTACTTGTCCAGGTAGCAATCTGTCAATGCTCCTCAAGTTAAGAACGATGTGTTCTCTCTCGCAAAACAGAACATAAACATACCTCAGTACCCGTGACAGCATTCCATGCATGAAGAGTGCCATTTCCAGAACCTGTAAGTTCAATGCCAACCTTGAGATGACAATTTGCTAGAAGTGTTACCAGATATTATCACTTGACCATCGGGACTGAACGAAGCTTCCAAAGTTCCTCCGTCCGGACAAGGCTCCAGCTTGTGGACATGAAGCTGATGAAACAAAAACAAATAAGCTTTCGAAAACGATCACAAGAAACGGACCTGTTTGCCATTGAAAGCGTCCAGCACATAAACATTGCTATCCGTGGTCGAAGCTAGCATGAGCTTGCCGTCGCTGCTAAACTTCATGCCCGAGACCTCGGCTGTGGAGTCTTGTATATAAAACGTATCAAACGGCCCCTGTTACGAGAGAAAACCTTCAAACAAGAACAAGAACCAGAAAGCAATAACTCAAACACACACCTTTTCGAAAATTCGAGAGTCAAAGAGTTTGATGGCACCCCCGTCCATGCTCACTCCAAAAACAAGTCCACTGTGATCGTAAGCTACGGATGGTCTTCCATGCACGCGAATCAATCCCTACAAGATCAAAAAAATGGAACTGGTAAATCAACAAGTAAGAAATAGCCTCCTGTTATTACTGACATGACAAACGTTTGATCGCAGGTCCCATATTCTCACGGTATTGTCTAGAGAAGCCGACATAAGAATTTGGCTCTTGGGATTTACGCATAAGCAAACAACTCTGAAAGAAGCAAGCCACAACACAGTCAAGTTCTTCTCTCCAAAAAAAAATGGGAGAGATCGTACCTATCTCGATGGCCCTTGAAATAACGTAGGTAAGTGTTCTTGCTCAAATCCAGATATCTCAGGGACTCTAGGAGAACAAAATACCAAAGAGAATTTTTTCGAAGTGATTTTTTGTGAATCACAAACTTACCATCCCATCCATTCTTGGAAGAACACACGACCGAATGGGAAGAATGCGTGAAGCAAATTTGGTCCACGCCATATTTTTTGCTTTGAGTCGTCTTTGTGAGCCTAGAAAGCAATCGCAAAACCCAGAATCTCGGCAACAAGCGTGGAGGAAATCGATCATACTTGGCATTTGCAGTGTCGTAGAGACGAATGGATTCGTCGTCGCAAGCCGTGACAAGCAGATCCTCGGAAGGATTAAAATCCAGGGAATTAATCTTCCCTCCCTGCGAAAAAATAAAATCCTTTCAGCTCGCCGAGATGAGAAAGATCTCGCGCAGAGAACTCACACAATCTTTGAAGACTGCTCCAGCGAACATGGTGCCGACGAGCTCGTCCGTGATCTCCATTCATCCAGCCAGCGCCTTCGCTAGAATTTGAAATGAAGCATAGGGCTAGTTTTTAGGGTTCTTCCATAAAGGGGGCTTTCCAAGCTCGGCTCGAGCGGGAATGGCCAGCGCCAACAAGGACACCGGCTTGGAATACCTCGTCAATCGTAAGTAGCTCCTCCATCTCCTCCCTCGCTCCCAATCATTCTCGCGATCGCTCTTGTTCTGGTGCTAAAAATCAGGGTTTTCTTGCTCGCAGAGCTCATCTCTGTCATCACAAACGATGGGCGGAACATCGTGGTAAGCTCGCTCGCGTCCCACCGATTGATCTCCAGTCTCGATATTTCGGCTCACAGGACGAGATTTTTTCTTCTCCAGGGAATGCTCAAGGGATATGATCAAGCGACGAACTTGATCATCGATGAATCGCACGAGAGGGTCTACTCCACAACGGTGCGTCTTTCTTCTCTCGCATTTCGAGCTTCCAATCCTTCCACTCTTTCTCGATCGTCCCTTGTCGATTTTTCCTTGAGCTCTTTTCCAGGATTTTTCGCAAAGTCTTTCTTCTCGCATTCCGATCCTTCCACTTTTTCTCGATCGTCCCTCTTTTTGTTTTCTCTTTCACTCCACTCCCAACAGTTTGCGACGATTTTGATCGTTTCTTCCTTCCAGACTGGAGTAGAGCAGCATGTCTTGGGATTGTACATCATTAGAGGCGACAACATGTAAGAACTCTCGATTCTTCGATCGATCTAAAATTTTTTTGTTCTTGGCAGCGCTGTGGTAGGAGAGTTGGACGACGAAATGGAATCCACGCTTGATCTAACTGCGATCAAAGCCCATCCTCTCAAGCCCATCCAACATGGAGCTTAAAAAATGGGACAAAAGGCTCGGACTCTAACCGGTTTGTTAATTTCCGTTAACTCCACGTCAGCCCTAGTTTCTTCTCACCGAGCGCGGGCTCTCGTCTTTCAACCGTCCGCCCGCCTTTTCTGCTCTCCGCCCTTCTTTCTTCGTTTTTAGGGTTCTTGTAGGTAGAATCGATGATCGCGTGATCGCGGCGGCGTGTCGCTGGTAGATTGAATCGATCAGTATATCTTTCTTGTTTCTACCGGATGCCTCTTCGCGGTTCTTCCCCCCCTGGGCTAGATTTCTCGCATCCTGATCAATACTTCTCTTGTTCTTGACCGGCATTCTTCGTTTCCCTAGGCAGATCTTGCTCCCAGGATTGATATTTCGTTTGTTCTTGAGGCAGATTTTGCTCCAGGAGTGATATTTCGTTGTTCTTGATCGGCATTTCCCCGCAATGTCGACGTTCTATCATCCCAAGCGCCTCCCGGCGAACGAGGACCGGATCTACAAGCAGCGGCAGTATGAGGAGGCGCGGCAGGCCCGCGTGGATCACGTCAACGAGTACGAGCATCTCATGCGCTGCGCCGAATTCGAGCAATCCAACGAGCCCAAGCTCCGGTTCAGGGCAAAGATGGAAAGCGAGAAATCGGTCATGGCGCTCAAGGCGCGGCAGCTGGCGGAGAAGCGCCAGAGGCTGGGGGATTTGCTCCGGGAGGAGGCGGAGGCGCTGCATTGCGAGCTCCACACGGCGACGATGAATCTCAGCGAGCGCCGGGCGTGGCTTGAGGCCCGAGGGCGGCAGCTCCGGGAGGAAAGAATCGCCAGGGACAAGACCTACGCCGACCAGCAGCTGGATCGCGTGTTCCGGGAGGGCTGCGACGACATGCGGCTCCAGAACTCCAAGATGGCGGTGCTCAAGGCGGAGGAGATCCGGAAGAAGCAGCGCGAGGCAAATCTGGCCAAGAAGCGGCTCCAGGATGAGGAGCGATTGACGACCAAGGAGATCATGGAGCTGGACCGGCAGCGCGCGCAGGAGGAGGAGCTCCAGGACCTGATGCTCAAGAAGACGCGCAAGAAGGAGGCCATGGAGATCTTGCAAGAGCAAATCTCGCTGGTCCAGAGGCTCCGAGACGAGGAGAGGGATTCGTTCGAGGAGGAGATGCGGCAATTGGTGAGGAAGTGGCAGGACGAGGACACGGAGCTGCGAGCTCTCCAAGTCCATCGCCGGCAAAAGGCCCAGCAGGAATCCCAGGAGACGATGCGCTACAACGACCAAGTCAAGGATAACCGGAAGAAGGAGCTGATGGATGAGAAGCACTCGGACGCCATGCTCGTCAACATGGTGAGCGAGAGAGAGAGGGCCGAGGAGAACCAGGAGCGGCAGCTCCGGGAGAAGCAGCGGCAAGAGGCTGTGGCGTACGCGGCGTATCTCAAGGAGGTGATGGCCAAGCAAATGGCCGACGATGCCGAGATGGAGGCGATCATCCAGCAGGAGGTTGACGAGGAGTGGCGGCGGAAGGACGAGGAACAGCAGTACCAGGAGGAGAAGAGGAAGAGATTGATGATGAGAGTTCATGAGGAGAGAGAGGCACAGCTCAAGTTCAAAGGTACGTGAAGGATTGGTGATCACTGCAACTTACATGCTTTTGTTTTCTCTCCAGAGCAACTTCAGAGAACTCGGGACGAGGAGAAACGGATCGAGCTAGAGAAGTTACAGGCTGAGATGAGAGCCATGGAGCTGGAGAAGCAAAGGCAGTCGCTCGAGGCTAAGATGGTAATGCTTTTCTATCTTGAAAGTTTATAAACTAATGCGATCTTTTGCTTTACAGTCGAAGCAAGACTTGTATCAGGCTCTACAGACTCAAGTACGGAGCAAACAAGCCGCTGATCTTGTTGCTCAGTCACACGCTCGCCATGAATACGAAGGTGATCACTTTGTGAATTGTTTGTCATCCAAAATCGTGTTTTTTCTTTGTTCTCCTTAGATGCATTGGCTGCTGATCAATTATACGAGGACAAGCTGAGAGAAACACTAACTCTGCCTTACCCGGAACCGAACCACGGAAGAAAAAACGCACAGTGGATGTTCTAGCGAACTCTGCAGAACAAACACCAATTTCGGTCAATCGCGTTAGAAAATTTGTAAGTTTGTGCGCTTCTAATGTAACTCACGCCTTGTTGGTTGCCAGAACGCTCCTACCTTCGCGTTCTAGTGTGAAAAACTCTATGCTATCTTCCTCCTCCTCGGCATACATATTCGACAACAGTATATAAGGCGACGATTTCTTCCGATCGAGATCCATCACCTTCCAAGCCGCTCGAGCCGCCCTCTCGAAGTCCCCGTGACTCTTGGATGCCGATAGGAGAGTCAGCCAGGCACTCGAATCCGGCTCGAAAGGCATGCTCTCGACAACCTCCTCGGCTTCATCCAGATGCCGGGCTCGTCCAAAGACGTCCACCATGCAGCAGTAGTGCTCGATCGTCGGCGAGATTCCATGGTCGACCACCATGGAGCAAAACTCCTCCAGTCCTCGAGCAACGATACCAGTGTGGCTGCATCCGGTGAGGATCAACGAGAAGGAGGCCGGGTTTGGCGAGAGGCCCTCCAAGTTCATGTCGTGGTAGACGAGCTCCAGGTACTCGAAGCTTCCATTTTGCGAGCAGGCAGCCATGGTGTGGTTCCAAGTCAGGAGGTTTCTCTGCGGCATTCGCGAGTAGAGCTCCATCGCCTGGCGGAAGCTCCCGTGCTGGGCCAGGATTCCAATCAGCGCGTTGAAAGAGACGACGTTCCTGCTCGCCATCGTCTGGAAGATCGCCATGGTTTCGTTGATATGCCCGTGGAGGGCATGCGCCTGCGAGAGAGTGTTCCAGGACACCACATCGATCTGGGCCATTTTGGCGAAAGTGGTGCGAGCTTCCTCCAATCGATCGTGTTGGGCATAGGCCGCGATGATCGAATTCCACGAGACAACGTCCCGGCGATCCATCCGATCGAAGAGCGACTTGGCGAGGTGGAGCTGCCCATTCTGGGCATAGCCACTGATCATCGCGTTGAGGGAGACGGTGCTGAGCTCTGGCGATCGATCGATCACCTCTCTGGCCTCCTCGATCCGGCCATGGAGCGCCAGAGCGACGATCATATCGGTGGCTGAGACGAAATCCCAGCACGGGCTCTTCTCGAAGAACAATGCGATCGCTTGATCGAGCTCGCCCGATCCAACGAAGGCCTCCGCCATTGCGTTCCACGAGATCACGTCGCGAAGAGGGAGGGAATCGAACAGCGCCTTGGCCTCGAAGCCCTGGCCGTTGGATGCCGAGGCCTTGATCATCGCGTTCCATGCCACGTGGTCCCAGCTGGGCATCTTCCGAAACAGAATCCACGCCACGTCAGCGTGGCCATTCTGGGCATATGCCGTCAGCGTGGCGGTCCAGCTCACCGCGTCCCTGTACGGCATTGCGTCGAATATCCTCTTGGAGTGTCGTACATCGTCTTCCTCCGCGAACGCCGCCACCATGACCGTACACCCCACCACGTCCCAGCTGGGCATTTTTTCCAGCACCAGGCGAGAGAACTCCAAAACCCCGGTGATGGCAATTGCGTCCACGATCGTGTTCCAAGAGATCTTGTCTCGCTGTGGCATCCGATCGAAGATCTCTTTCAATCGATGGTGATCTCCTCTCTCGGCATTGCCAGCGAGAATCGCATTCCATGTCACCAGATCCCTCTGTGGCATTCGATCGAACACGCTCTCCGCGAAATCGAATTCCCTGTTCTTGGCAAGTGCCCCGACGAGGACGTTCCACGAGAAGACGTTCCTGCGAGGGATTCGATCGAAGAGCGCCGCTGCCGCTGGGAGATCGCCACACTTGCCGTACATGTCCACCAGGAGATTGAGCAAAACCCGGTCCTCGCGATGGTCGCTCGCCATGATCCGGGCGTGGACGTGCTGCGCTTTTGGCAAATCTCTGGATTCCGCGATGCCGCGCACCAGATCCGCGAGCTCCAGGAACTGTGATTGTGAGTACCTCGTCGCTCTTGCATTTCCAGAGAAGAGATTCATTCCCAAAGAGGAGATTTGGCTCCCAACGGCATTCCTGGAGCATGAAATCCCTACAATACTTCACACAAAACCTCCGACACTGCATTGACCTCCAAGATCTGTCGCTGGGAAGGAGATTGCACCAAGTAAGCAAGCATCACATCTTTCCACGATTTTAGGGTTCTTACTTGTACATGTAAGCCTTTCGCGGGAACCTTAAAAAGGAGCGAACGATCCGAGACGAAGATCGCGAACACGCTCATCCACATGTATGGGAGCTGCCAGCGATCATCAATGCCACACAAATCCACAGTCTCGTGGAATTCCATCGTCTCGGTCTACCCGCTCTCTCTCTCTCTCTCTCACACACACACACACATATCAAACCATTCCTTGCTTTTCTCCCTTGCTCGGTCGCAATGCCGATAAGCTGGCCGACTCCAAAAAGTGGCTATCTCCAAACGTCATTTGTGTCAGGTAATTGGTCCCAAAAGAGAAGAACTCCGAATGTAAGCGATGTCTATGATCGATATGTCAAAGAATCCTCAAGAAATGTAGGGAGCATTTTATCAAAGACTCATTAGCTAGCGAAGAACTTTGACCAAGTTGACGTGGTCAGCGGTATATAAGGTGAGCTTTTCCCTGTACCATCATTTAGTCTCGGTATTGTGATCCGACTTCCAGATGGAAACCTGTGCCTGCTCTCCACGCACTCCTCGCGGAGACTGCATAAGCGCTTCTGGAATTCGGATGCCAGTGCTACTGCTCGCCAAGGAACGAATCCTGGCGCAGCCAGGAGGCTGGATACGTGCCCGAGAACGCGAAAGGAAGGCGACGGCGTCGAGCCTTGCCTGGGAGGACTTTCCGTGGCCGGATCGAGCGCGTCACGCACAGCCGCCATCCTCTTGCCAGCGCGCCTTCTACAAGTCGCGTTAAACACCAGTCTCGATCTCTTCTGATATATTGCATCAGTGGTAAGGAGAAGAAAAGATCTGCGAAACGTTTTCATCGCTTCATACCTTTGCGTTCTTCGCTTTCATATCGGCGTTGAGCCTTTTTTATTTGGAGTCGCAACCAAAAAACGCGAACAGCACCGAGGAGCTAAGTCCTCCTTTGGTCCTGGAAGAGAAGACTCGATGCTCATACAAACTGTGACATAGAGGGAAGTTGAAGTTCCTTTCTCCCATGTCCAGTCGTCAAACTAGTAGGCTTGCCAAGGAACCCAGAATGGAGCTAGAATTGAACGGTTGATTTGCAGCAGATCTCTGAGCTTCACGAGAATTTCTAGTTGACGAATCTAGAATGGTACCTACAGTTCGCAGTGTCAAAGTAGCAACATGAGCACTGCTCTGGATCTGGACGACGGTTCCTGCGTTCCTTTGGGGGCTTGTTTCTTCGAGTTTGCTCTGTCGAAGTTTTTCTAGAAATGTGAAGTAAAAAAGGAGAGAGTACCTGCAAAGCCGAGGGCTTTGACATGGAATGGCCCAACCTTGAACTCTCTCCACATCCAGCAGGGGATGATCACAGTCGTCACCAAAGCAATGGCCATCATACCCATCCCACCAAAGACTACTCCAAAGATGACCATCAAAACCAGTAGAGCACCAAGAACATGCAGTGGCTCAAGCTCTTCCCTTGGCATCGTCCTCGATGCTTTCGTCGATGCTCCAGCTTTTGCAAACCCTAAGTAGTAAACGAACGGCTTAGATTTAAATTTGGCCTCCGCTTGTTGTCAATCTGGGAGACGAGAACCGACCGAGATTACGAAGTAGAAGTTACTGCTTCGTGTTCCAGGGTCATGTTCTTACCCTACATAAAGCGATAGCCGCCGCATGGAAGAAGACGATCTGTTCGATTCAAACAAGTACCCTGCCATACCTGGGTAAAGTTGGTAGTGCACTCCAGAGCCTGCCGTGTTTACTTACGGGAGAGTCAGTTGTGTACTCTTTCTTTGCTCCAGTCCTCATGGTTTTGCTCTTTTTGCTGCATGCGGGACGAGTACTCCATGTATGCCGGTACTCGGGAAAATTCCTGCTCGTCGTTCAAGCATCTACTTCTGCACTGGATTTGTGCCACTTTTCCTCGATGCACTATGCCAATCGTGCAACTACGACCTTGAATCAAAAGTGCAGCAAAGCAACGTTTCGGAGCAGAAACGTGTTGCTGCATCCCTGCTGCGCCAGGGATGCCTCGGTACTGGAGGAAGCAGACGAGTACTGGGAGGCCGTGATCATGACGTTTTCTAGGCATTGCGAGGTGAAGGCAGCTGTAAGAAAGGCAGACGAGTTAGTCCTGCGAGGAGAAGACTACCACTGCTGCTCCACCGACGAGCTCATGGCACACCTAGATCCCACTTACGTTCTCAACGCTCAAAGGGGGCGCTACTGCTCCACTTACATCAAGTTGATCTTCCTGAGAGCCGTGGGCTATTGTCAAGCCTCATCCCGACGGAGCGTGGACGGCATATGCACGCCAGCTGCTTACGGACGGGAAAGTGATCCACTGGGCCACCTCTGTGATGACACTCTGCGAAGAAGGGGCTGGTCCTCCTCTGCATTCGAGGAGGACGTATCAGCTTCGAAACTTTGACATCCCACAGAGAAGCATCAAGTGACTCCTGCAGCAGTTGAAGGGGGATTCAAGGTACTGCTACAAGCCTTTCAAGTTTCGGCCAGGACCTTTGCTTTCCAGGTGTAGATGGCGTGGTGATCTGGATGAGCGGGAGGGAGTTGCACATTGTACTGCTGCAATATACCCCCATGAAGATCGCGTCGCTCAAGCGCGGGTTTTCTGATGCCGAAGAGCACGTTGCATCGCCATTGGCGGCACTGGACCTTATGAACCGAGCCATGAGCACAAGTCAGCTGACGAGTGCTTTGAGCGTTGGAACTCCTGCTTACATGCTGCACGTTCAATCGTTTGAAGAGTCCTTTTGGGACCTGAGTCGATTCCAGGGTGCTCGCTGTCTCCAAGAAGATGGCAAAAGGAAGATTTTGGAATGGCCAATCCAAGTTCTAAGGAGTACAAGAACATGGCATTACTGATCAATGCTCTGTCAGCCAAAGAAGAGTGATAGATATGAGATAAAACAAATACACAATTTTTATAGGAGTTATTTTGACAACATGGGTTAGTTAAGCTGAAGCTTGCGGAGAGGTCCTGCGCATGATCATGGATGAAATCCCTGCAATCCTTCATCCAAGCGCTCCGCCACTGCATCGACTTCCAAGATCTGTCGCTGGGCAGGAGATTGCACCAGGAAATCCTCGCGAGCGAGCATCACAAAGCCCTCATTCTCTCCAATCTCCTCATCAGGATGTATGGCAAATGCGGCAGCGTCGAGGAATCCGAGAAAATCTTCGCGTCCCTCCGCGATCCAAACGACTTTTCCTGGAACTCGATGCTTCTCACGTTTGCACAAAATGGGCGATTGATCGAGGCGAAGAAGACTTTCGAGAGAATGGATGGGAAGAACGTAGTGACGTACACGGCGATGCTATCGGCCTATGCCAAGAAAGGGCATCTAGAAGACGCAAGAAGAATCTTCGATAAGATGCCACAGACAAATGGATTTACATGGAGTAGCATGGTCACAGCATATACTACACACGGAGTAATAGACCAGGCAAAGCTACTTTGTGAGAATACGCCTGCGTCCAACGTTGTGACGTGGACTACTTTGTTCCAAGCATATGCCCACAAAGGGCACCTTGAGCTCGCAAAATCGACGTTTGATCGAATGGCGGGAATTGGACGGGACATTGCGTCCTGGAATGCCATGTTCCAGATGTACGCTGATCATGGCCATTCCGGAATGCTCCAGGAGATATTCCAGCGCATTCCTTGCTGGAATGTCGTGACGTGGACGGCCATGATTGTCGTAAATGCCCAAGATGGGGGTCTTGACTCCGCCCAGAGGCTGTTTGACGGCTCAGTTGAGAGGAACGTTATCACATGGACGGCTATGATAGTGGCCTACTCCCAGAATCTCCGCCCGGAAGAAGCATATTCCGTCTTCGAGAAGATGCCGCACAGGAATCTCTACGCGTGGAACACTGCTCTGACGGTATATGCCCAGAATGGGGATCTCTCTCGCGCGAAAGATGCTTTTGATTCCATGCCCGAGCACGACGTGGTCTCCACAAACGCCATGATCGCTGCGTTCTTCGCTGGCGGGGAATCGCTCGCGGCGCAAGAGATCTTTGATTCCTCCCCAGCTATCAACAGCGTCTCCTGGAGCGCGATGATCAGCGGCTATGCCCAAAATGCCCAATTGGAGCTCGCGAATCGCGCCTTCCATCGCATCCCTCGCAAGGACGTTCTGGCGTGGAGCACGATCATCGCGGCCAACGCCCACAGTGGCCACTGCGCCGCCGCAATCGCGTTCTTCCAATCGATGATGCTGGCGGGAGAGACGCCAGACCAGATCACCTTCACGAGCATCCTGGCGGCGTGCAGCCATGCCGGATTCGTGGAGCAGTGCTGCGCGCTCTTCGAATCGATGGTGGTGGATCACGGCGTGCAGGCGACGAGGGAGCACTACAGCTGCGTCGTGGACATGCTGTGCCGATCCGGGCGATTGGGCGATGCCGAGTGGCTGATCGAGGCGATGCCAGTGGCAGTGGACGAAATCTCGTTGGGTTCGCTGCTCGCGGCGTGCCGGATCGATTGCGATGTCCAGAGGGGATCTAGAGTGGTGCGATCGGTGCTGGGGATGGACGGATCGGCATCGCCCTATCTCTTGCTGGGGAGCTTGCTTGGCAAAAAGATCTAGAGAAGAATGCTTGAGAGGAAATCTTTGATACCATGATCTCTGCCTCTCGAGAGCTCCCACGTGATGATCAATTCATGGAGGAGTTCGCAGTGCGCTTGCGGCGCTGTGGCTATACTCGCGATCTCGCCGATGCCAGGATCTTCAAGAGCGAGCATTGAAGGAGAGTCTATCTCGCGAATCTGATGATCCAGATGTATGGAAAGTGTGAGCGCACGGTCTTCCGATCGAGTGATCAGCCCAACGCCTTCTCATGGAACATCTTGATTCGTACATTTGCCTCGACTGGGTATCTGCTGGAGGCAAGACAAACATTTGGATGTTTTTCTATATTCTTTCTAAAAACAAAAATATCATCAAAAAGAATCTCTATAAACT